TTTGATCTGTTCATGATTATTAAAAAACAATCTATTTTTTTTTAAAAAAGGGATTTATAAAAGCACAAAAAATTAATAAAAAAAAATTTTAAACCAATTTAAATATTCCGGAGAATTGTAAGGTTGAAATATCATACGACTGTGTTCTCGATTGTCCAGCATCAAATATCAAGGTTAAAATTATATCTATTATTATTATACTGTACAGTACATAATTTTCATTTAAAACATATTATTATACCATACTATATAGTACAAGGTTTTAATCATACCGTATCCTGATACTACCAAAATCCCGGCAAAATTCCAATATAGCCAATCAAGTTCTCAACACCACCAAGTTCCCGATACTAATAAGCTCCCGTCAATACCAAGTTTCCAACCCTACAAGTTCTCTACACTACATGTTCCCGACACTACCAAGTTTGGATATTGGATGTACATTTCTTGCCAGATCACAATAGGTCAAACCTTTTACATAGCCGGTTAGGTTAGTTGAAATGATACTGATAATATAAAACTAACACAAATATTAACATCATTCTATCATTTATTTGTTGAAACTTAAAATTGAAAATTGACAAAATGCCATGGTGGGAACAAGTATCTCTAATATAATAAAAAAAGGATATAATAATAATAATAATAAAATCGATACTTGTTTTTTGTCTTCAAACTGGGAAGGTTCGAATGATCGAATTGTCGTGTGCATGTGATGCACGTGACTCGTGTGCTGAACGATCGAAAGTAAGAGATAAAAGGTTATGCAACAGTCGGTATCACAAGATAGTTTACCGAAGTAAGTGAATAAGTATGCATAATAATAAGAAATGATATAAAAGTAAGTTTAATAGCTTTTTCTTCGAATAAATAATAAAAGTATAATAAGGACACACTTATCCTTAATTTGGTGCCATCACATACTACCGATGATATTATCAGAACCTAAATAGCATCCACCCACTTCCTAAGGTCTGGTTATATTTTAAAACATTCGGTTCTACAATACTCTGATGTATGAATAATTAGTAGAATCAATCAGAAGTGGCAAGGAAATTTTAAACTCTAGTTATTGCAGTATTGTATATGAAGTATGC